TCATTTCACGTGAAAATTTCAGATTATTGAATGGATTTATTTATTTTTATTTTTTTAATTTATCGCGTGCGCTTTTAAATTTCGAATACGAGTTCTCTCATCGTTCATGGTCACGGGACCGAGGCGTTAGACGTCCGTCACTCTTAGTTTTAACACGAAACTACGGAGATGCTATTTCTAATTTTTAAGTGACTAGCTGTTACATGTTACTCACATGTCACTTTTTTGTTGAATTTAAAGCGATCGTCCGCATAAAAATAATGTATTTTAAAACACATAAATATATTGTATTTTATGTTACTAAATAAATAAATACGACTACGATTTACATTGGATAACTGTGACATTCTCACTAACTGATTTAGCCTTTAGATTATTTAGCGATATTTATATAGCGATTTAGCTGTTAAATTTAAACTTCTGGTAAATTGTTATTGCTCAGAACCCTAACACTTCTTCTTAAATAAAATTGGCTTTATTTTACTTACGCTCAAATTAGTCCTTATGACATTACCTACATTCTCCATCGACATTTTCTTTAAAATTGACCCAGGTGTTTGGACAAACATTCAGAGAGACAGAAAGATAAAACAATAAAGAGTACGTCTTTAACTGTTCATAACATGCAAATGATTATATGACCTTAAAAAGGATTTGTTTTGAAATCACAGACAGTGATTACAATTTAATATACGTGTACATATGTTTAGATAACATTTTGTGAGTGCTTAAATTGTAAAGTCTATTTCTTATATATTAATACTAAACATGCAAAACTTATTGAGGAGTAACCCACCATTTTCATGGATCACCATGAAAGCCACAATTCAGTTTCAGAGATTCGTCGAGCACAAGCTAATGGCGATAACATTCTGGTTACACTAATACACATACAAGCAATACATTTCACCTATTTATATTGTACAATAACGTTTTTATTAACAAAAAGTAAAAACAATCTATTTTATTTTGTAGAGTTTCCTGATGTAGGTACCCCTGGAGTCCTAGGTTCGATTACTATGAAATGAATATGGGAACCACTTGGGACGGAGTATACTTTAATTTTTATGCTATACTTTTTAATTTAATGCTTGATGCGTGAGCATTGTTGTAATTTCCAAATGATTATGTTTACTCTTTTGTTTGTTTTGTTTTTTACATTCCGTCGATACAGGTGCCTAAATTCAGACAGGAAGTTCAGACTCGGTAGTATCATCGTTTATTGAAATAAAAACAAACTTTTTTTTTAAATTGTCATTCCATTCCCTAAAAAACAGAACTTGTTGACAATGCTGTAGTCATTCATAAATGCGTCGTATACTTTTGAAACGAACTTGTGTGCGTATTAGTTATGAATGGTCGCGCCAGTTGCCTATAAATCACGCACTTGTGGAGATAAGTTCAAATGAATGTAATTAATTAATTAGGAATTATTTTCAATATTTATAATTTTTTGTATAATATGTCTAGAATTTAATAAAAGAAATAGATACACATAGAAAAGCCTCCTTGTATATGAAGGAATATTTTAAAAATAATAATACAAAGGCTTCCCCCTAAGAACGTCACAAGAAAACCATTTACAACCATCTTCTTGCCTGCGAATCTTACAATTTAGTCGATCCACCGACTGGATAAATTCCGTAAAAGATAGGTTTATTAATGTTCGCGTAAATATACAAATTTTCTTATTTGGCTTATTCCATTTTCCTTTTTTACTATCCATATACGTACATATAATAACATTTATTTTTAATTACATTTAAGTATCTGTATCCATCTACACATATCTACACATATGTTATAAATATATTATTTATCATTATTAATATCTAAATATCTACATATATATATATATATATATATATATAACTTTTATGTATATATTTTCTTACAATTTTGTTTTCAGAGGGAATTTTTTTTTTTTTATGTTTTACTATTCCGTTTAGACTTTAGCATCTCCCAGCTACTTTTCGCCCTAAAGGTTCACTGGTAGAAAATGCCGTTAAGCAAAGATCGCCTATTGTAGCCCTTAGTCTAAAGTGCAACAAAGAACTTTAAATAAATAAATAAAATAATTAGTATATGTATCTATTAATTGAGTATAAAGTGGCTAACTATTTCGATTCCTAGGAACAAATGCTGCGAGATATACTACGTATATACACGAATTGGCACGTCCGTCCGAGTTAGTACCACGACCTCACAGAAGACAGGCGTGAAGTAGAAGTGTTACATTTATGCGTTTCGTCTGGTGAGTGAGGTAGCCGAGGCCCACCTTATTAAATTGTGGCAACGCATCTGCAACCCTACGGGTGTTGCAAATGTCCACGAGCGACGGTTATCGCTTAACATCAGGTGAGCCGCCAGCTCGTTTGCTACTTGATAACATAAAAAAAAATATTATGAATTGTTTCTTAGCAGCAATGTTAAATTGAACAAGATACAAAAATACGAGATAACCATAGTATTGATTTTGAAAGTGAAAATAAGTACATACGTGTAATTTTCACCTGATATGACGATGATGAAATCCATCTCCTTCTTCTACGCAGTTTTGACAAAGTTACTACAAATCTATACCTGGTTCGTGGAATTGAAGGCCTTTGTTTTGTTCATATAATATATGTAAAATGTAATCTTTGACGTATTCGATTCACAATTATGAAAACATAAATATTGTTATGAATTATTAAAAAGATTGGCAACATGCATTCAAAGAAAAAATATCATATGAATTTATTTTTTTAAACCACCAAAAAGATGAGAATGAAAAACTTCACTTATACATTTAAGAAATTAATTATTTCAAGAGGCCACGTAATCTATTCTATGATACATTATAAGTAAAGGAAATATTTTTGTTGCTTTCATCGATAACACAAGCCTTATGATAAAAAATATATAAGGATAGGTCAGACTTTTACTGGCCCATAAAGGATTCCGTACTGTTGAGAATTTCACGGCGCACCTAAATATGAAAACATGTCGTCAAAACATAACTTTTTTTTAATATAAAATTTTTGTCACTATGTTGGTAAGCAATAACAGCTTACAAAACAACTAAGCAGCAACTGTATAAGTAAGCCAACTAGACAAGGAAACCGCTACGACTTCAAGGAAGACTGTGGTGAATTAAACAAGCCAAACAGACATACCAAGCCCATACTTGCCTTTCACAGCACTACATCTTTATTTTTCCGATCTTTATGGGCGGCGCCCTTAGTAAACCATCAAACTATGAAGAAAGATGAAAGAAAAATATTTATTTGGTACATAAACGTAAAAAACACATAAAAGACAAACACAGTAATTTCGTTACAAAGAGAAGTTTAATATAAAAAAATCTTCATGAGAGCTGATATCTATAAGAAGGTAGTCAAGCGCTTGCTCTCACTAAAAAATAGTGCAGGAAACTTGTGTTCCTTGTATTTTATTTAAAAGAAACGGAACCCTAATTACTTGATAACGCATACTTTATCAAATTTAATTATGGTTACTAGCCCCATTATTTAGTATTTATGCATGCTCGTCGGAACTAGTAGACTAGAAAACAATTTAGTGATGCCAAAAAACCTACAAATTATTTAAAATTGAATTATTTTTTTCGAACTATAGAAAGGCCCTCAGATTAAAGAGCCTTGGTTCGTTGACCTAATGGTCTTATAGCGGATATGCACTTGAACCGAACGAATGTGAGTGAAGACTAGCATTTGCACGTTGTATGTATGTTTACTTCATACCTACTTTATTTTTAAATGTGGCCGAGAAACAGGGTTGATCTCTATATAAAATGATTAATAAGAACGTCGTTTAAGTTAGTCGCTCTGCGGCGTCTACTTGAATGGCGCGTAAGTCAGGTAATGGTCGGAAAGGGCTTAGTCGATGTTTGATATCTTATGGCAAAACCGAGAAGAGACGGGTCAGCCGATTTCGTGATGGCCACTACGTTAGATTTTATTTAGCCCAATCTGTATTCATGTAGGACGGTGGAAGGGACATGTTGATGGCCGGTAGATGCGACGCAACTGTTTGTCCTATGCATCCGACGTGGACCTCAGTGGAAGAGGAGTGTTAGTATAGCTTTAGGCTACTCTCTGTATTTACATTAAAGGCAAGGTATTTACATTAATCATTGACTGTTTTGGATGAGGTTTTAGTTTAACTTCATCACTAAATCATCATACTGTCCGAGCCGCAACTAGGACATATTTCCAGTTAGGACGGTGCGCCCCACGACACTATGCACTATTTATTTGTAACCAATATCAGTTAAATACTGTATCTTATATAGTAAGTGGGTGGGCACACGGTCTTTATGAGAATCAAATGTTTGTATTTATTTTATAATAGATCGTAGCTACTTTCCAAGCCTATGTCAATATATGGCTGCTACAACAATACCAATTACTGGTTTTTACGGAAATCACAGAGCTGACAAATAAACAGCTTGGGACTTTCCTGGAATGCCTCAAAGTCAAATGTTAAGAAAGTTACGTTAAGTTAGTATGCCTATTCCAAAAAAGCAAAAAATATTTTTCGACTTGTCATATTACAATGGTCTGGTTGTTATAAAAGCATAGGCATCGGTGTTATTTTTTAATAGATTTTTATTTTAATTTACAAGTTGTTCGTACTTAATTACCACGTATTATTGTAAGCTCGAATGTTATCTTAGGAAAACGTAAAAGGTAAGTAAAAGTGTGTTCGGTTTTTCGTTGGAGGCATTTGACACTGATAGAGGCCTCTTCATCTGATCGCGGGAATACCACCAAAAACATTTCAGTCGGAGGTAAAGGGAAAAGTGTTTTATTTATTAAAAAGAAAATTAACAAAAACCAGTTAGACATTCAACAACAAAAAGTAATTTATCCCTTTATTGAGTTTATGTAATACATATATATTTTGTTTCATTTGTTACATAAATACATTAACAGAAATATAACGTAGAAACATTGGTTCCATGATGTCAACGAAGTCCCCTGACCATTCGGCATTCACCAGAAAGACAATAGTATTTTGTACCAGGGTTCTGGTGGTTGCGGCTTGTAGTACTCCGAGTTTGGTTTGACTTTCGCATCGTCCGCTATGGAGTCCTCGAACATGTTCACGTAGGAGTTCCTCACGCCGAACACGAAGAACGCCGCGAAGGGGAAGTACTCGACCATGTACAAAGCGAACATGTAGTACCAATTCAACAGCAGTCGGCCGATGCAAGTGCTGTAGAAAGCGATCAGTAGCGAGCCGAATGCTAGCTTGTATCTGGAGACGATAGAGAGTTTTTGGTAATCCGGAGCGGTCTCCAAAGCTTCGTACTCTTTCAGGTATAGAATCCGCGGTGGCCGGTTCGGAAGTCCTTCAACACTTGACTTCTGCACCAATGTGGTCGATTCGACACCTGTTCGACAAAAACACTAGAAAGTGTTAGATCAATTTGCTTTACAACATTTAACGCGTTACGAATGCATGACAATGTTAAAATCTATCAAAACTTCATAAATATGCGTCAGTCCAAACAAAAATCGGCTAAAAAATTTAATATTTATTTCCAAAGGAATTTTTGCCTAGTACTGAATTATTTTTCTTTTCAGTATGGATATTAATAAATCTAGTAAATACTAATTACGTTACGTAACTACGGCTAAATCAGTCTATAAGAGCAATGGTATAAAATATGTTATAGAAGGTAGATACAGGTGGACTTATAGGTGAATTAGCTTCCGTTTTGGGATTTGATGTAGTGCAATAAATATGGTGACTAAATAAATCATTTAGCGCTAGATGCCTCGTCACAGCACTCTCGAATCAGTCGCTTAAAAGTAACGTAAAAAGTGTGATGCCATTTAGTTGGTCATTATATCTTACTAATTAATTTATTTATATTTTTGTCAAAAGACATTAAATAAGGAAACGTTCTAATCTTTATATAATATATATGATTCTTCTGCGCGTGTGTATCTTACAGAACTCATTTTAAATAACTGAACCAATTTTAATGCAATTTTTTGTGTCTTCAAGTGGATTCGAGAATTGTTTAAATTCACAATTTGGTTCATTAGATTTTTTTTTATTTATTAGTTCTTGTCGAATATTATCATAATACCTGAAGAAAAAAAATAATGATTAAATATTACATTTAGGTATTTTTTGAACCATACATCACCATTCTCATCAGGTGATCTGCCAGCTCGCTTGCCACCTTCTGACATAAAACTAAATATTCGGCATTTCCACGGGCTGATGCCCGTAGTTTAAAGGTATCAACGCCAGCTAAGATCAACTGCTCACTCGTTTGCCGTTTTATTTCACAAACAATCAAGGGAAAGTAAAGTTAATCACCAAGGTACTGGTTCTTCCCCTTCAACTGCTCTCTCAGTCGCGCCTGGAATGCGATCCTCTCGGATTCCGCCAGTATGTAACCGGGCACGTCCGCCAAGTTTTTCGTCAAGTACAGCATGCTGCCCACCTCCATCACGGAGTTGACGGCCCACATGCCCTCCATCATCACGCGCGACATATGCTCGAAGTACTCAGGCACGTTCTCTAGGCAGGGCGTGAACACGCGGTCCATGACCAGCTGGCAAGCGCGCCTCGTCTCCTCGAAGTTGTTCCGGCAAAGGTTGTATCTGTAAGGTATGGTGGATGACTCCGTGGCACAGTTGCCAAGATACTGGCTTCGGCGCCGGTGGTCGTAGTTTCGATTCCCACACGGGACGACATTTTTCGTATCTGGGTGTTTGTCTACGTGAAATTTATGAATGTAGAACATCCTAACAAAACAGGAAAATGTTATCCGACAGCGAAGGGAAATGTTTTCGAAAGGAAGAATAGATTTTCTAGGCCGCAGTGACTTACCATTCAAAGCCTTCCGCACAAATTACAAATAGAAGGTACAGATGTGTCGTCAAATATAACCGAAAATCCAATTAAAGGCGTGAAATAGTCGTAGGTAGTTGTGAACCTATGACAATTAAACCCAAAAAGCTATAAAATCATTAAAGGAGACTTTCATTTTCGCAAAAAGAAGTTGTGCATTGATAGTGGTAAGTGGGTTTCAGTAGTTTCTGCATCTCTGAATAACGCATGTTAATATTTTTATGCATAATTTGAATTTTCATCACAAAATAATGTTAAATAACCACGTAAACCTGTCCTCCAAACCAATCATGTGGCCGATAACCCTCCAGGTGTAGATAAACGCGTCCCAGTCGCCTTCTTCCATCTGCCTCACGCCGAATTTATCCGGCTTGAGAACTCCGAAGCCTATGAAGCCGAAAAGCGTGAGTGCTACGTCGCGTTGAGATACCGTCCCTTGTTTCTTCAAACGCGCTGAACGGCCAGCCTTCACGTGACGAGAACGAACTGCATGAAGTGATTTCCAAGATCTAAAAATACATGGGCAAGACTATTAGGTAGCAGTGAAACAAAAAAAATTGTTTAACAATATTTCAATAAGCCTAATGTTAGGATTTAGTAGTACGTCTAGTATATAGCATTTGATCCATGGAGTCGATCATTTAGCATTGGACCTGATGAACTTAATCTAAGGTAATGATGAAAGAAATTTCGGTCTTGATTTCGTCAAACATTTTCGGTTTCGTTAAACTATAAATATTTTCGTCACTTTGGAAGAATCGTTTTGTTATTTCTTTATGTTATCGAGTAGTCTGTTATATCCCACTCCGACTATAATGCAATTTTGTTTTGCACTAACTGAATTCTTTTCAGTTTCAAAAGTGTGTTTGAAGTACTTGAAGACATACGCTTGGAAAATAATAACGATACATGCTACGGCCCATAATTTTGCAAGCGTGCATGTATTGAAGTATAACTTACTTCGAACCGGGCTTCAGGTCATATCTGAACCATGAGGCAACGTGTAGGGACGTGGATACGTAACGTCTGAACGCAGTATACTTTGAGCTGGAGCGCCGTGAGCCAACCAGCACCTCAAGTATCGTAGGCACTGAGAAAACCGCGATAAGCCCCGGTCCCGTAATACCGCCAAGGCCGAAGCAAAATTTCCAGAAGAAACTGCGACCCCTAGTATTGATAAAGAAATTTTATTAGATGCTTAAAATAGTTACAATTCAAGACCTATTCAAATCCTGCTGCGAAGATGAAATTGGTTATGACGATCTTAAATACTGCGCTGTCGAGTGTTCAGTTTTTCAAAATGTTGTTGAAGTGTTTTTGAGAAATATTTTTGAAACCCTTTCAAATATAAGGCCTGCGCCCTAAAATGGCATCATAATTACTCATTCGTGACACTATATTACAATAGTTCACTGATAAAGTATATAATGTTTACAAAAATGTATCAAGAATAGATGAATTCACGGAATATGTACATCTTTATATTTCACCAGATTCTGGAGATTAAGTTATAGATTTTTTGTGTTGATTTTATTCACCACACCATTTTTAACATTTTTTCTATTAAATAGCATTATTACTTGTACTTGAGTACTTAAAAATTTTAGACAGAAAGATTACTATTTCGATACCAGCCATCTTTTTGTACTGTATCGTAACCAAATCCAATCAGTGGCTAAGCTTTATTTAAATAAAAGGTTTTAAAAGAACTCTGCTTTCTGCTCACCTATTAAAAAGCTTCTCGTCGTACCATGGAGGTAGCTTCATTTCCAAATCCTCCGGTGCGACTGTATCCGATGGAGCATCGTATGCCTCCTTGCTCAACAGTCCATCTACGTACTGCTCCACTAAAAAGTAGAGAACATATGGTTTTTGTTAGACTACACAGAATTGCTGCCTTTACAACCTTCCTTTTAATTCATATCTATTGGTAAATTTATCTTATGGCTAATTAAACTGATTGGCTATTTAATTTTGATGATTCCGTGGTGCAGTTGTCGAGGCACTGGCTTCAGTGCTGAAAGTTAGGCGCTCAATTCTCACTCGCGAAAACTATTTTTGTGACCCACAACTAATTGTTTCAGACCTTGGTGTTTTTCAACGTGAAATTTTTGTGTGTAAAACGTCCTTACAAAACAGAATTTTATATAAAGGTTTAATGAAAGATTCAGATTTTTAAATAAAGAAATTAAAAAAAAATATATTAATTTATTAAACTAGTTTATAGGCAACGTCAATTTTAATACAAAACACTTTTAGCTTTTTTTGGATTAAATTATCTCTCCTTATAGTTGGTATTTCTTTTACACGAGGTTCTATGCCTCTAAAACCCTCTCGATGACCAAACTCAGTAATACCCCTCAGTAATACGCAATTTACCCATGGGAGTGATCCTATACGATTCTGATTTGGTGTATCTTGCCAGAAGACTATGATACTTTAAAAGTTTCTAGGCTTTTCAAGTTTATGTATTTTTTGCGTTCTTTTGACGTAGCTGTCCTACATGGAACTTTTGTATGGACAAAAGTAAGATACTTAATCTTTGAATGAAATACAGCTTGTAATAACGGCGTCAAGTTTAACAAATACAGGACCTATGCATCGTTGGGAAGCTCATTGATGTCACGGCCTCAAGTTTCTCATCGACGTATACATACAGAGATATGGCCAACAATATCCATAGATAATTAATTAAATGTCAAACTTGGTGACGCCGTTGGTAAACTAACGTGGTTGGCTTTGACGTCAGGAGTCGTGCGTTCGATTCCCACACGGGGCCAGTATTTGTGATCCCAACGAGGGGTGACGTCAGACAGGCCGGTCGTAAACAACAGCCAAAACCGCTTACCTACAACATGATTCATATGTTAAAACTTGATAAGCAGATTGCCACACCGACGAAAATTTTAACGTCTTTTATCTATCTACATTGATATGATTATGTTAAAAAAACATGTTCCGATCGAATAGGGGCAGCATGATGATGATGATTATAAATTAAATATTATACGTGAGACAGTCAATAATGATTTAAAATAAATGAATACCTAACGACTAACTAATTGATGATCTTGAAGAATTCAGATCGTGATTTCTCAGCTGTTAGGTCTCTCTCTCAAAATCAAATAAAAACGCATTCCCAGAAGCCCACACCACGTTTATCTCCTAATCACCCAAAGCGAGAAACAATAGGCTCGAACAATCAAGATTAGTTTACAATTGACGACTAATTTCAAAACATCATGAAAAACGAAACCAAATTCAGTGTAGGAATTGTACTGTATACACGTGAGCAAGGAATTTACGAGGAAAAATGAATATATTAGTATTACTAATGACTTGCATGTTCCAAATCTGTTATGGTGATTGGGTGAGTAATTTTCAGTCAACCTATTCTTTGAGACATTCATAACAGTCAACTTTAGCGTTGTCGAGAGTTTAGATGGATGCGTGGTCGTAACTTAGAGTAGTAGAGTGTCTGTATTGTAGTTGATAAATTAGACAATCAAATACACAACAACTCCCGATACTGTGTCGGTAGAAATTTACATTTCTACCTTATTTGTTTGCAAAAAAATTCAATTGTATAAACTTATATAAATAAAGAACATACTTAGAGCTGGATGTAGACAATATTTAATGGAATGCAATGGACCTTCATCAAATATATTTACTTTTAATAAAGCAATTAGACACACTTCGTAAGATTTAAAATAGAAACTATCTTGTATAATCACAACTTTATTAACAATTAAATCCTCAAAACTCTAGCCAGTCCGTTTATTTGCTTGCTGGCTAGTATTTTCAATGTGCTTCTCTCTGGTTGCCCTTTCCTTGATATCGGGGCCAACCTAGAATCAATTCCGCAAACAACAAACATCCTTACTCTTATTCGAGTTAATCTCTTATCCTTTAAACGAGCAATTCTTGTATATATATATATATATATATATATATATACAAGATATATATATATGTATATATATAATCGGAATCTCGGAAACGGCTCCAGCGATTTTCATGAAATTTAGTATGTGCGTAGATTCGCTGGCGAAAAATCGATCTAGCTAGGTTTCATTTTTAGAAAATGTACTTTTATCCCTGTTTTTAGGGAATGAAAAATATCATTTGAATATGACTTATTCTTAATTTTTGTCGATTTGTTTTTATGTTACTTTTGCCCTGTTTTTAAAGTTGTTTCTTTTGTGAAAAACATCACTTCATATTTTCTTATTATTACGTCGGTAAGATCGAAAAATATTACGCATATCTAAATGTAATTTCCAAAACACACGATTTACCAAAAAAAATAAAACAAACAGAGCAAAGCTCGGTCCTCCGGGTACTACAGTATAATACAAATAACTGTATTCCAGCAATCGATCCCTTGGGAGAAGTGATCAAATATCTAGGGGTTACCTTCGACGCCGCCATGTCATTTCGTATCCACATAAATAACATAAAAAATAAGACCGTGTTCGTTTCAGGCCAACTTTACTATCTCATCAACTCTTCAAGCAAAATGTCCTCTATAGAGTATAAGCATAAACTCTTAACCTTATTGTATAAATAAAGACACAAGTTTGCGCGTTAACCGCTAAAAAGTCTCCATTTGTCGTGACTCCTCATTTCGAGAACACTCCCCTATCTGCCACAGCTAGTATCGGAATGCTTGGCGTTGAAATCTCGAGCAATGTCGAGTTCCGCGGTCAATTGGAAGGTAAGGCCAAATTGGCCTCAAAGAAGCTCGGTGTGCTCAGCATGGCGAGACAGTACTTCACGGCTGCTCAACGCCTAAACCTCTATAAGGCGCAAATTCGGCCCCACATGGAGTACCTCCACCTCTGGGCGGGAGCCCCCTATTACCAGCTTCTTCCATTTGACCGCATTTAACGTAGGGTGGCTAGGGTTATCGACGTTCAAAGTCTTTCCGATCGGCTTGATCCTTTGGCTCTGCGTAGAGATGTAAGATCACTCTGCATCTTCTACCGCATTTATCAGGGGAGTGTTCCGAGGAATTGTTTGGATTGATCCCAGCGCCTGAATTCCACCATCGGACATCGCGCCAGAACCAAAAATTTCATCCACACCACCTCGATGTCCAGCGTTCCACAACAGCGCGATTTTCAAGGCATTTCTTGCCTCGCACAACTACTCTGTGGAACCAACTGCCACCAGCGGTCTTTCCGAACCATTACGACCTGGGAACCTTCAAGAAGAGAGCATACTCTTTCTTAAAAGTTCGGCAACGCATTTGTGAGCCCTCGGCCGTTGCAGGTGTTCATGGGCGGCGGTAATCACTTACCATCAGGTGAGCCTCGTGTTCGTTTGCCCCTATTCTCCATTAAAAAAAATAATAAGCTCTGCATACGACACTTACGCCACTCACAAATTTTAAACGTTTACTTCCTAACATTGGCGTTTCTAGGGCTATTTTTCAGGGTGCAAACACTTATCATCAATATCAAAAAAAATTGAACACTGTTTCAGCAATAGATATTATTCAAGTCGAAGGTTTACATGTAGTATATATGCATATTATAGTAGAGAAAATTCGAGTAATTCAATATCTACATTGCACCTCGCTCGCCTCGCTCGGCTTCAATCTGCTTTTGGCGATGAAGGATAGGTGTCCAGCCTAGAATTTCGAATTGGTAATCCAAAATCCTGGGGTGGGCACTAGACCATATTTGGGTGGGCACGCATATATACGCCTATGCTTCCTAACATTCATTTTTATGTATTTATATACTTTTAACGTGAGTTTTTTAACGATTTTCTATATTATTATTCATCAGGTCTCTGAATGGATGACACCAATTCGTGATCAATAGTAAGTATTGGTCTTTTTTCTTCACCGTTTTCGCCTAATTCCTTATAGAGTTTATCGACGTGAATATGCTAATTAATTTAAGATATGAACAGATAAGATATCAGTTTTGACGGGTAGATTATGCGATATTTGAAGTTGTTTTTTAATGCAGATTCAATTATTATGAACAAAACATGACTGTTTTCAATAATTACTCAATCGACCAAACTTTACTTTTAATTTTTACAATACATACCTCAAAATTATAGAGCATGGCGAATAATATATAAGTTACATAGTTCCAGTAAAGGCACATCTGGAAGACAGTACAACAAAATGGACACGAAAATATTAGATAGCGAAAGAGCAAAGATTCCAATGGGCAAGGAAATGTTTGAAGTGCCAAAGAACAATCTCTTAATTCTTTCATCGCCCAACACTACGCCAAGTCAATACTCAAGCCTTAAAGTTAAGTTGGAAACTGTTCTGCATAACGCAAAAGAGTTAGCAGTCAGCCTAAAATCGCAGATTACGGTTGTAGAAGAAAGAGAGAGAGCACTCAAAGAAGCCATTGTTGAAGGAAGGTAATAATTTTTTTTTATGTGAAAAGTTGCTAAACTAGCAGACGGTTCACCTGGCGTTGAGTGAATACCGCCGCCGTTCATAGATCGCGCTATCGTGCTAATCGCGTTTAAAGTCGCTTCGTGTTATTTACATGCACAGGTATGGGGTGACCACGTTAACTGTGTCGACACTCAGAAGGTTGCCGCGAAAATACATAATACGCGACGGTTTCTGGACGCTTTGCAATGGAATCGTGCAGCACCCTCCGTCGTCACAAGACGCCAACGCAGCAGTTTTTGGCGATCTCTACTCGGTCCCCAGGTGCGTCGGGCAAGAAGTAAGTAAAGGCTCCTGTGTCAAAAGCGTTTAATGTATGGGGGGGGGGGGCGATCCAAAGATACCCTGTGTTAATGGAGGACAGGGTTATGTGGGGGATTCCTACCCAATAAAATACTCTCGGTGGCCACCCTCGTTACGTTGGGAAATATCCGAGATCTCGTACGGAACCCCTCCGTACTGCTAAGATCTCACGTGTCAAGGAATAATAACAATTCCTCCCAGTGAACCCAGTGTTCCCTTTTAGTCGCCTTTTACGAAGGCAGGATATACCTTAGCCATTCTGAGCGGCCGAGACTACAGGGCTAATAATTAAGACCTAGGTCGTTAAAACGAACTATAAAAAAATAGGTACTTAGAGATTCGCGTATATTAATTTTGGTGCGAAAATCGACGAATAAACGACATTATATAAATACAATTCTTTTAACGGATTTGTAGTGTTTATTTCAAAATTACAACGCTCTCCAAAATTCATAAAAAAATGTATCAACACTGTTTGTATAGGTAGTAATCGCAGAAATACAACAAATCATCACGTTAAACAAATTTATTCACTACGATGTCTAGTTAGACTATATCGTAGTACATAAATTTGTAGCAGTTGATAACTGCTGTACTCTTTAATTAAGTATATAAAATAAAAAGAACATCACAAGTAACTTTTGTAGTTGGACGTGTTATTCTTTTGAAATGTTGTTACAATTGTTCTTCAGGTGGCTTCTAAGCCGGACCAGTGCGTGTTCAATTCAGTCATTAAATACGACACCGTGCCAACGACGAGGGATCTTGAATATTCGGAAGGGGAATATTTATGCCTGAAACCGGGCTTCAACAATACATTAGAGCAATACTACAGTGTAACAAAGAAACTCGTCGATCGAACGTGTAAAAACGGTATGATTTTTAAAATTAATAATACAACATACCACTGCGATCGCATCAATCGTTATAATAAAATCAATATCAACCATTTAAATTGTAACCAACAACAAACATTTCCTGGATCAATACATATTCATACATGTTGTTTGTAAATATTTGCAATTTTTGTAAAATTTTTTTATCAACAAAAAACATAATCGACTTCAAATATCACACTGATTAAGCTCCGCAGTCGAATAGCGATGAAGGTATAAACAGAACTTTTAAAAATTTTAAAGTTTTTATAGTGCTAATCTCTGCACTTAAGATTTGAACATTAAAACATGTAGAAAAAGCTTAAAATACTAAATAACAATGTAGAAAGAAGGCGTTAAGATTTTCGTCGCTGTGGCTATTAGCCGTTTAGCTCAGTGGCTAGAGCGTCAGGCCGCGAATGCCGAAGACGTGGGTTCGATTCCCACAGCGGCGACAATCTTTTCGTACTTTTTCTACATGTTTTAAAGAACTTTTAAAGTTAGTTCTTATAATATGACGTTATTGTGAGGTAACGAAAAACATGCAACTGATTCGAAAACCCCCTTTTTTGAAGTCTTTTGAACCGAGTCGGACTTTCTCAAAATCAAATATTCCCTGGGGTATTCAACCATGAAATCGCATTTTTTTTAAATTTGGGAGTCATTTGATAAATTGTAAAAAAAATATTGCATTAAATTTTTCACAAACAAAGAGTATTTGCACAGGCTCTTAAGAACGCTCGTAAGAAGTATAACTTCTTACGAGCGTACATAAGTAGGAAGTCTTACGAGTATACACAAAGTTATGTTTATCATTATTTATAAGTACAGACAAACTTTTATTTTAATATTAAAGAGGTCCTTTTATTTTAGGTGTGATAAAGAGCCTCGACGATAACATCTCGGAATGCGGTCTCCGGGTTTTATCCGAGTATACGTTTTACCCCAACAAAAACGCCGGCGCCTCATACCTGCCGCTAGAGTACTGCGAAGAAAAGCAAGGTGCATGCAAACTAATCGTCGCTTGGCAAATTTCGAACTCGACTATTGAGAATTTCGAGTATATTAAAGACGATCCGAACTTCAAGAGCTACTTCATAAAGTCGGGATCATTTGTGAACACCGTTATCTATTAATATGTCGTATTCCTTTTCTTTATTCGATCCATAAAATTATGTACTTGTTGTGAATTTAAGACGTTCAAATGGATATAACCATTTCACAAATAGTAAATTAAAAATATCATGTACGTTTGTTTCATTTAAGACTTCTTATGTTCCAAACAACAGAATCATTACTTTTGCCAAAAATATGCGATATTTAATTTTTTTTTTCCCGATAAAGCAATCCCTCTCAAATATTTTTCATGTGATCTTGAAAGCTATATTAAAGTAAAAATTGTCTTTGGCAAAAATAATGTTTGGTTTTCCAATGCCTCGAGCTTAGTATTATAGATATGTATATACCGGGATACACTTTTAGCACTATCTAACAATTGCATCCAAAAACTAAGTAAAGTTCCATCCTACATATGTACAAAGGGTATTATGGCATAGTCCACCACGCGGCACCACTTCAGAATGGCGGACTACACATAATATCTTCGAAACATTTTTAATACGATGTTTTCCTTTACCGCTGAACGCGTGATAAACATCCTTAATAAAACTTAATTATATTTGCTTTAAAGATTTATAACAAAAATGTTATTAAAACATTTATTTACCTTTTACACGACATAACATTAATGTAACTGATAGTTTTAGTGTCAGTGAAACAAACATTTTCAAAATTCAATATGGTAGCTACTGTATACATCTATAGTATAATAAAAGAGTAGAATCGGCGTGTCTGTTGAATATTTTTATAAAAAAAATGAAATAGAGTATCATAAAAAGAGTTATAGGAAACATAAAAACCATTTTTGGAATTTTTGTCTGTCTGTCTGTCCTTCCGCGTTAAACTCGGAAACTCCTTATCGGATTTTGAAGAAGTTTTCACGGGTTACTTAAGCAAAGCTTGGGGCAACATTTAGGCTTTGTTTCATCTCAATCGGTTCACTCAAACGGGAGATATGGGACTTCTATTAAAGCAGTGCAGTCGCAAACAGTTATCACAGTTATCCAACTACGTGACTAATTTGTATGGTGTTTTTGAAAGTATTCAAGATTAGTTCTTAAATTAAAACTTTGTTTCATGTTCACATTCTTTGTTCACTCAAAAAAAAAGTTATGCGAATACTCACAAAACATGGGATCGTTTTTACGGCGTATTGACAGCGTGTTCGTTTGTTCACCAACATTGGACACATTAAGCATGCAAAGCAATTAAAAAAAATAATAAGTCGTAAATGTTCCAACAATTACAGGTGGACACAGCTTTCTTAACATAAACTTATACCCTAATTAAAGTAATGTAATACCTACAAACTAGTGTGAGAAAAATTAAAAAAAACTAAAGTTTTAATAACAGTTATAACATAATAAATAATTTTGATAAAAACAGTAAAGGCAATTAATACTTATAATTATTGTTAGTCCAATAAATAATCTAAGATTGACTTTTTAAATTTTTCCAAGGACATACTTAAATCTATATCATGACTTTTTGACAATGTGTCATACATTTTACATAGCCTTGCTAGGGTTGAAAATTGTCCGAGATTAGTTTTAAATGCTGGCAAAACAAATAGATAAACGATTTTCTCCTGGGTAACCTTTGGGGAACACTTAGTTCGATTGTATTAAGCAATTCGCTACAATCTAGCAGTCCGTTGAACAGTTTATAAAAAAGATTAGATCCAAGAGCTTACGTCTACTGGCCAAAGGACGAATGCTATAATGACTTAGGAAGCGCATAAACTAATTGATCTCTAAATGACAGATGTAAAGAAAACGCTTCTGGACACTTTCTATTCGTTTGCAATAAATATCGTAAAAGGGATTCCAAACCACACTGTTATATTCTAAATTGGATCTTACTAATGAATTAAACAAAGTAATGCTTGTGGAAGATTTCTTAAAGTCCCGTGAATTTCTCAATACAAAACCCAATACTCTAAACGCTTTCGTCCCAATCATGTCTATATGTTTGTTGAACTTCAACTTTGGATCCTGAACTATTCCCAAATCTCGTATTTCCGTTACACAGCGTAATTTCTAATTAAATAACGTATAGGTGTGAATTGAAGAAATTTTATTGCGAGTGAATTGGACATGGAAACATTTGTCAACATTAATTGACATTTTATTATAATTACACCAATTAACTAATCTGTCGAGGTCCTTTTGTAAACCGATTACATCTAAATAATTTATAATTGGTTTGACTATTTTTAAATCATCCGCAAACAAATGAAAATGAGGGTTAATAAAACAATCAGATATGTCATTTATGTATACATTAAACAATAATGGACCCAAATGTGAGTCTTGTGGAACTCCAGAAGAAGTTTTATACTTTTCAGAATGATAACAACTTTTCAAATTCTCGTGTTAAGATAAGAATTGAACCAGCAAAGAAATGACCTACCTACACCCATTTGGGATAATTTTTGTATTAATATACTATGATCGACTTTATCGAAGGCTTTACTGAGATCTGTATAAATTACATCAACTGGGATTCGTCTATCTACGGCCTTAGTCAAGCTATTGACAAAAATTACTAAGTTTGTACAAGTTGATCTGGATTTCATATATCCGTAACATAACGTGAGGTGAACGCTGACTAGTTTTTCAAAATTTTTTCCGAATTGTGCAAGGATGGATATCGGCCGGTAATTTTGAATAAGCTTTCTATTGCCAGATTTGTATACGAGGACAACTAGAGCTTGTTTCCAACACTCTGGAAAAACACCTATACGTAGTGATTCATTATAGATGATTTTCGAGGGGGACAACTAGAGCTTGTTTCCAACACTCTGGAAAAACACACCTATACGTAGTGATTCATTATAGATGATTTTCAAAGGTAGTGTAAGGACTGCGGCGAATCTTTTTATGAACAAAGCGGGAAACCCATCATATCCCGCTCCTTTTCGTTCATCCAAAGATAAAATAACTTTGTACATTTCATCTTTGCCGACGAGCGGCAAAAAAATTGGGTCTAATGATAGACTTCGGATGCAACATTGGTTCCTCCGCTATGGACAAACTGAATTCTATTGCAGGATATGGTGGATCAATGATGGTCAATGTGTCTTTAACTTCCTTTAATTTATTAACATCTTTGATTTATTATTAAGGACGCGATTAAACTGAGTTAAATATATAAAGCTATAAAATCTAATAATGAAGTGCTTAATTCATTTTTGGGTTTATTCGAATATGAAATATCAATCAAGTTCCAATCAATACACGTGAGATTAAAATCTCCCACTATTAACGTATTTTTACTATTTTTCAACATATTATGAGCGCATTCAATGAAATTTTCTAACAAGCGTTTTGGAATTTTAATAATAATAATGCGAATTTCTTCGATTGAGATTTATACGATAAGTACGATTTTAGTTTTGCTCGTTATACGAACTTGTACGAGCTATGAAGTAGCGTTGGTTGCCTTTCGCTTTTCGCTTCTTTGCGTAGGCGATATTCCATGAAAATTATAACAAATCAAGCGGGCCTGATAAGTAGGTACCGGATTCGTCGGCTCCATCATAAATCATGTACTTACTAACTTTATTTATTTAGTTTTTTGTGCTTTCCAGCGAGTCTTTTCTCTCAATCTTTAATGAACAACGGACAAATCTGTCACTTTTTAGGAATACAAATTTGGTTAGGCTAGGATATTCGGATATTATTTTGCTTTGTGGTTTGGAAATTATGTTTGTTTTTTGTCACTGACTCACAAATTGTATCTGATATTTTTTTGTAATTAAGATACTTATTTTGTAGTATTTTCTAAATAATTGAATTTATCTTTCAATATTTATTACAAAAATACCTCGATAGAATTAAAAAGAATGAGAACGATCTGATCTCAGCAATCTAGTGAAAACCAAACACGACTTAGTGCTGATACCCATTTCGCCATAGACGCCATTCATTATCTCGCACATTGGAGTCAGTTATAGGTTTTAGACATTAAAGTAAAGTAAAAATGTAAACTGAGAGTGAATTTTGACTGAGCACCTGTAGAGGCCGATGACAGAACACTACAGTACATACACTGAGATGAAAGGCCAATGGGGAACGTCACAGTTGTTTTCTCTGGAGATTTTCGAAACCATTCCTCTCATTACTCAGGGGATTAAAGCGAAGAAATAAATGCCTCACAGAAGCGTTCTTATCTCTGGTCTCAAAAACATAAGTTGCGGTTGACATTTAACGTGCTGACCTTGCCTCGATCGCTAACTATTATCTCACTAGAGTTATTATCGGATCAGGACTGCCACAAGTCCTTAATTAGACAATTAGGGCCCTTACTAAAGGTGTGTGCGACTAACTGCGTTGATTAAGAAATTTGGACACAAAAGACATTTTACTAAATGTAATTCATAGAAACAGGGATAAGTCTGGCTTGTTGAATAAAAACCAAATATTCTCCCATAATCATGTAGTTTCTGAAATCTTCGGAATCTTTAACTGTGATAGGGCCATGGAACAGTTTTCGTTGTTGAACGATTGGGCAGGTCCGTCCAAGGAAGTACCACGACCTCACAGAAGACCGGCATGAAGTAGAAGTGTCACGCTTCTGCGTTTCTTCTGGTGAGTGAGGTAACCGAAGTCAACTTTATTAAGAGGTGGCGACACATCTACCACCCTACGCGTTTTGCAAATGTTTGGGCGGCGGCAATCACTTATCGAACCGACAGCTCGCTTGCCATCTTCTCACATAAAAAAAATCTTCAGAATATTTATGTGTCAATTTAATTCTTTGTAGTAAATCTTTTTTTTTTTAACGTTCCGAGCTCCTTCAAGTGTCGATTTTGCTAAACTATTTGGAAAAAGATGAACGATTTGATTTATAAGTATACATTTAAAAAAAATAATCAATTGAGAATAGGTTAATAACACAGCACAAAAAATTACGTCAAATAAATGTGTTTTGAATTTTAAATTAACTTGCGCAAAGAAAACAAGCTTAATATTTCAAGACCTTTTCAAAGGCCACTTTGGATATCATTGAA